GATCGCGATGAGACTATTTGTCGTGCCCGTGTACAGCAAAATTAGACTCCAAGCGAAATTTAGAGCACGCGTGAATGTAGAAAGTCCTTGCAAAATTTCAGCTTCGCAGATTTTCCGGTATCTGAAATAGCCACTTCGCCACAGATATGTTTAAGGTGTGCCACAGGTGCAGTTCCTGACTTCATTTAGGTGTATAATTTCCCACACTGGCGATAAATATTCCAGCTAATTACAGTTTTTGCTCTCCGGCACATTTTCGACTTGGAACGGTGCCAGCTGTGAGTTTTGACGTGACTATACATGTGATACAAGAGTGCGCGATAGCTAAATTTGACAGGACAGCGAACATCCCTCCACGATTCCACTTCTCTGTGATAAGCGGTCCTCGAATTCAGTTTCCGCACAGAATTTACATGTTTCTTCAGGCCTCTGTTTCTTCAGGTAGGCGCACGCACACATACATATACACCTACACACACGGGCAACCTCTAGATAATGTTTGTTTTCGTATTCGCATAAGATTTAATAACCGATAGCCGGGCCAAGTTTCTGGCTTCGCTGATAACCAATGATATCGGCTTTCGCGTATGCCTACCTCTTACATACAGACACATAAAAGTTTTGGTGAGAAACCAGAAAAGCTGGGAAGTTGAAGTTTCTGGGGAATACAGCTCCCTAAGTATGCCTTAGTCTTATCCATGAACAGATGATTTGGTTGAAAAACTATCAACTCGAGAGCCAGAACAGACAGGGAGCCGAAACTTTGAAAAGATGTTTCCTGCCCATATAGGGGCCGGAAAATCTACGTTCAGTTTTAGAGGGTGTCTATTTCTTATGCCATAAGGCCAGTGAAATTTGGGATTACAAGAATTTTTAACTATTCTACAGTCTGACTAGATAAATGTTCGGACTCTTTGTGTTACCATTCTTGGTCATGTTTCTGTTCTGAACTCCACCGCTACAGGAACGAAAATCTTAGCATTTCAAACGAAAAAATTCTACTTTGTTTTGGTTTAAAAAAAATCAGAATCAAAATTATCATTCGTCATATGGGCAGCCGTTTAAGTGATAGGAAAAACGCAGGTTTGCACTAACAGTCTCGCTATTGGTTCACATTATTATTTTCAGATAGTCAAGTTTTAGTCAGCAATAGCTGCAAATTTATCCTTTTTTAAAACATCGAAAAATTTTGTTAAATTTATCTGGTCTTTTTCTTTTCAGACTCCAGAAACCGCATCTACCGTTGACCTTCGTGGTGCAGCATCACGGCTAATTGAGGCATGTTCACAGTTGGCAGTAAGCTTGCAAGCGCCCCAGCAAGCTGCAGCTGTCGATGTATTTGTTCGATCTTATACCGATTTCCATACCGCAGTTACACAGGCTATCAAGCAGCAGCAGGTTTAATTTTGATGAAAACTGAGGGAATTCCGAAAAACAAATCAAGGAAAACCTTTCGTAATTTCTTTTTTCCCGTCTTTCTCTCGGAAAGATAAAGGCTTCAGAATTATCGAATTGACAGCACATGCCAAGCGCAAACCACCCGTTGACGAGACTGTCGATGACTCCAATTTTTCAACTGTTGCTTCTGTGCAGAGTGATGTGATTAAGACTCATCAACATGAGCCAATGCCAATTTACCATTGTAAGAAAATGAACGAATTTGAATGGGGTTGTTTGTCCCACGGGCAGAATTGAACTTTCATCCTCCATTAGAAGGGGGCCACTGCCTGCCACTGCACTGTGCCAGCCAGTTGACAGCAGTTGATATTCTCTGTTTTATTAGATCCTTCATGGCAAATCGTTGATATATCTTTGACTTAGTTTCATTAAAATTACATGAAATCCACCACAAGTTCAGGGAAATTACCGGATGAAGAGTATGGCGTAATTTCACTTCTGAGCTCCAATTTCTGTGCATTTAGGATGCTGTGCAACGACAACAGTGCTTGACATACTTGGAAACAACTCGCGAGGAAGCAATGAATGTTGTGGTACGTACGCATGCTGCTTCGATGGATGCAGCAAATGCATCAGCCCTACAGTTGCTCTCGCAATCCACTCGCTCGCTCACCGAATCCGTGAATGCAATCGTTGAAAATGTTAGCCGTGAAGCGCCCTGGCAACGTGAGTGTGACGCAGCCTTGCGGCAAATTCAGGTACATTTATGACTTTTTGGCTTCGATAATAATTCTGGTAGCAACTCTGCAAAATTCGAATTTTTTTTGGTTCGATTCCTGGTGTTAGGTCCAGCTGATCGTGCTTAATATGGTGGTAGCGATGCGTCAGTT